GTGTGTGTGTGTGTGTGTGTGTGTGTGTGTGTGTGTGTGTGTGTGTGACTGACTGAGTGTGCGTGTATATATGTGTTTGTTTGCGCGCGCGCGCGCGTGATATTATTTACACCTACTCACACACAGACACACACCAACATGACCGCACACATTAAGGACTACTACCATGAGCCGATGAACCCATTTTTCCGATGTTTGACGCTCTGTAACTCGAAAACTGTCCATTTTTGGACTTAGTGCTCATAGTCACTTTTCATCAGGACGTCATAAACTACATCATACTAAATATTTTTAGCCAATTTGACCGGGATCCATTTTTCCGTGGTTTGGTGCGGAATCCTTTAAACTTGTCGGTTTCAATTGCTGTCGTATCAAGATATGATTTCATTGAGTTTCAACTTTATAAAATGTATGAGAGCGTATATCAAGAGAGCGTATATATGTATGAATAATATATGTGAGAGCAATTGATGCTCATATGAGCCGCACGCATGCGGCACTCACGTGTGTGCAAATTTTAAAATAAAAATGTTTATAAATAAATATATATTTGGTCTTCTTTAATTTAACGTTTTTATAACTGTAATAGTACATATATATTATATTTATATTAAAAAGTAGGGTACAAGGTGAGAGCAATTGATGCTCATATGACCCGCAGGCATGCGGCACTCACGCGTGCGAGTTATATGAGCATCATTTGAGGACGCATCTGTCTAACACCATGAGTGCACGCCGTGCAAATTATCCGCACGACGTGCACGCGTCGTGAGCTCACTTTGCGGGCATTTTGTTATCTGGGATACTACACATATATGTGTGTTTGTATGAGTGAGTTTTGTATATGTATATGTACATGCGTGTATGTGTGTTTAAACTTACCTTCATTAAATTTGATCAAAAAGTTTGATCGAAAAGTTTGATTGATATGTCAGATCAATTCGATCAATTTGATCAAAAGTTCTCAATATTCCAGAGAACGTTGCAATAAAAAATTTGCGATATTTCTTACGCATACGAAGGTATTCCGCACATGAAATCTTAGTATAACGAAATGTCAAGTGTGTGATAACATGTATATTTCAACACGTTATTTCCACAATGACAGTTGCTCACGAAGTAAGCGCAACGAGAAAGCCAAATTATTGATTAGTAAAACATATTTGACTCTACTTCAAGTGCATTTCTTTCATATGAAGTTAATACCTTAAACATAAATAGCATCATTTGTTCAATTAAATTAAACGAAACGAAGACGGTATAAGGAAGAAATAATAAAAACGGAGGAGAGAATAAAAATGGAATTTAAAAACCCATTAAATACACCAGAAAGTAAGTTATATCTTTTTTAATCTTATATATAAATATACAACAGCAATTTATAGCAACACATAGCAACATACATAGCTATACATATTTAGTTATTTATGTAAAATTATTACCATGTATATAAATTTTTTAAATGCAAAATATACTAAAATATATATTTTGTTATTTCAAAACAGCTGTAAAAATGGGTAAATCTGAAGAATAGTGGCCTCCTCACCAATTTCGTTCAACTTGGGCTTACCCCTGATTTCCATGCACGCGTTGCCATGCGTTATAGCGCGCGTTTGACGCACGCGTTTGTGCTGATAGTGTTTTCATGCGCGCGTTATATATAAATTTGACAGCTCCCAATTTTATTACAAAAATACATGCGTATATACATGTAATATTTAATATTAAAAAATAATATAAATAATTGTAAAAGGAAGAGAGAAAAGAAGAATATTAAATACAGAAAAAGTAAATAATCTATTAACTAGCTTTTAGTAAAAAAATATCACGTATATGATACAATTTTCTCTAAAAAAATATTTTACGCTTTCTCAATAGAGTTAAAATAAATATAATTTATTATTTAAAAGATATTACTAAAAATGTATAATATCGTAATATTTATTTTTTAACAATGAAATTATTTCATATAATATGTATGAAATTAATTTCTATATAATAGATGGATGATGAAGAATTTAAAATATTTCTTCTATTATGGTTGTGGAGAAAACGACAACAAAGAATACAACATCAAAGATCAGCTCCACGTTGGTGGGTTCGACCTATTTTAACCAATAGACTTGAGCAGGGAGCTTACAGTAATCTTGTTGCCGAACTACGCAATGATGTTGAGCTCTTTTTTAATTACCACAGAATGACACCAAACAAATTTGATACCCTACTACATAAAATAGAGCCTCAAATTTCTAAATTATATTTAACTAGAGAACCTTTACCACCTGGATTACGATTATCTTTAACCTTACGATATATTGCTGCTGGAGACAGTATGGCTAGCTTACATTATCAGTATTGAATTGAACGAGCTACTACGTCAAAAATTATTGCGGAAACTACAAAAGTGATATGGGATGTTTTACATCCGGAAGTATTACCTGTATTAAAAGAAGAGGAATGGACTAACATAGCTCAAGACTTTGGGGATATTTGGAATTTCCAAAATTGTGTTGGAGTTATCGACGGAAAACATGTAGTTGTACAGTGTTTCAAGAATACAGGCTCTACTTTTTATAATTATAAAGGAACATTTAGTATAGTACTTCTCGCAGCCTGTGATGCGCAATACAGATATTTATATATGTAAGCATTGGATCAGCCGGAAAAGAGAGTGATGGTGGTATTTTCCAATTATCAGATTTTGGAAAAAATATAATTGAACAAAAATTACCCTTGCCTCCACCAACTGTTCTTTATGGATCAAATACTAGAGTTCCTTTTGTATTTGTCGGAGACGCAGCATTCCCATTATTGGAAAATTTAATGCGGCCTTATCCCGGTGTTAATTTAACACCAGATCAAATAATTTTTAATTATAGAGAAAGCAGAGCTCGAATGTGTATTGAAAATGCGTTTGGAGTAATGACATCAAGATTTCGTATTTTTAGAAAACCAATAATTGCATCTCTTGAAACTGTACAAAGTATTGTACAATGTTGTGTTGTTTTGCACAATTGGCTTCGGGACAGTGAGCTTCATCTTGCACCAGGACAAAGAAGATATCTTCCACCATGTTTTGTTGATAGAGAAGATCGAAGTTGAAATTTACAAATTGGACAATGGCGTGAAGAAAATGAATTTCTCGGACTACAAAACCTTAATCCAAACGCAGCCAGGAATTCAACGCAAGTGGCCAAAGAAGTTCGGGAAATTTATAAAAATTATTTTATGGCGGAAGGCAGTGTCCAATGGCAGTGGGATAAATTACCAGAACACCAAAAGAACTGGTATTTGCAACAAGCAAATAATTAAGGTATGTTTACAATAATATAAAGTGTACAATAAACTGAGTCAATAAACTGAGTAAATAATATTTTATTTTGGGCTTCCGTTTCCGGCGCTTTCGTGAGTGACACGTGTGTGAGTGACTGGAAGAGAATCGGAGAAAGAGGAGTGTGAGAGGGTGTGTGAAAGGGCAGTGGGTGGGTGAGAGAGAGAAGCAGAGGAGTGAGAGAGAGTGTGGGAGTGGGCGCAGGTCAAAGGGAAAGGATAGGGTTAGATACGGGGAAGGAAAAGTGACGGAAGAACAACGGACAGATAGGCAGGCATAGAATAAAACAGAGGAGAGGGGTAGAGCGTATAGACGGGGACGTCACGAAGTCGCGCTGTCGCGGCGACACGCGTGGGGGCATAGGCAGGTGCGAACATAGAAGGGAAACTCATAGAGAAATAGAAGAGCAGGGTAGATAGGTATAACTGAAGGAAAATGGCTGAGGAGGAAGAAAAAACGGCAAGATTGATAGAATTAATTGGGGAGGAACAGGAGAAGGGAAAGGGGGAGAGAAGAGGAAGTACAGGTAGTATAGATTCAAAGAGAAAGAGAGGGGAAACAGAAGGCCGGGAATCCGAAAAATGGGCCTTTAACAGGAGTAAGAAGGTGCAGAGATCGCCGAAGAAAATAGATGATAAGGAAACCTCAGGGGATGAAAGAAGCTGGATAGAGGAGATAAAAAAGGAAGTAAAAACCGAGATGAGAGAAGGAATAAATGAGATGCTGGAGATAATGAGGGAGCAAAAGAGAGAGATAAGACAAGAGATGGAAGATTTTAAAAGAACCATGGAAGAGAGAGAAGAAAAATGGATGAAAGAGAGAGAGAAGATGGAGAAGAGAATAATGGAAATGGAGAAGACGATAACGGAAATGAAAGAGAAGGGAATAGGGAAAGAAGAAGACGCAGGGGAGAAGGGATTAGAGAGAAAACTAAAAGAAATAGATAAGAAATTAGAGATGAGAGAGAGAGAAGAAAGAAGAAGAAACATAGTTATAAGAGAAACGAAAGGAAAGAGGAACGACATAGAAAGAGAGGTGAAAGAAATTTTAATGGGGATTGGAATAGAAACGGAAGTGAGTTGCAAAAAGGTCATAGAGGACAACAGAGAGGGAGGTATAAAGATGGCAATAATAAGCCTGCAGGGACTGGAACAAAAAAGAAAGGTCATGATGGAGAGAAGAAGACTAAAAGAGAAAGGGATAGGAATAGATGATGACCTGACATGGAAGGAGAGAAAGAAGAGATGGAATATAGAAGACATTGCAAGGCAGGAGAGAGGAAATGGCAAGAGAGTAAAGGTAGGATATGGAAAGATGCAAGTAGAAGGAAAATGGTGGAAATGGGAAGAGGATGAAGAGATATTAAGAGATAACGAAGGAAATGTGTGGAAGGAAAAAGGGGAAAACTAAGAGAGGAGGAAGATGGAGGTAATATGGAAGAGGGAGATGAGAAGGACAAAGAAGGGGAAAAGGAGAATGAGGAAGAGAACTTAGGAGGAGGAGATGGAGAGGAGAATACCGAAAATGGAGAGAGAGAGAAAAGGAAAATCAGGAGGGAGGAGGAAATGTGGAAGGTGGCGTTCTGGAATGTGGCGGGCATAGCAAACAAGGATAAGGAATTCTGGGAAGCGATAAAAGAATGGGATATAGTGATAATGATGGAGACATGGCTAGATGAGAGGGGGTGGGAAAAGATGAAAGAAAAGATCCCAAGAGAATACAAATGGAGAGCACAGATAGCGACCAGGAGGAACAAGAAAGGAAGAGCGAGTGGGGGTATGCTGTTAGGAATACGGAAGGGAATAGAAGAGATAAAGGAAGAAAGAAAGTTGGAGGAAGATGAAGGTAAGATCGAATGTAAGATAAGGATAGGAGAAGAAATATGGAGAATAATAGGGCTTTATGTAAATAATGATATAGACAGGAAGCTAGAAGGCCTGAAGGATAAGACGGAGGAGGGAGAAAAGGGAGTAAGGACTATAATAGGTGGGGATTTCAATGCGAGAACGGGGGAGGAAGGAGGTTGGGAAGAGGAGGACGAGGAAAGAGTGGAAGGTGGAGGGAGAAGATCAAAAGACAAGAAAATAAATGGGGACGGAAGAAAGCTATTGGAATTCATAGAGGAAAGAGGCTGGATGATACTAAATGGAGGCGTGAAAGGGGATGAGGAGGGTGAATTTACGTACACAGGAGGGAGAGGCGAGACAGTTATAGACTACGTGATAGGGGAGGAGGAGGTTAGAGAAAGGGTAGAAAGATTGGAGGTAGGAGAAAGAGTGGATTCAGATCACCACCCAGTAACAATATGGATGAGGGGTAAACTTGAGAAAGATCAGAGAAAAAGAGTAGAAGAAAGAGCTAGAAGAAGAGGAATATGGAGCGAAGGGGGAAGAACGCAATTTAAAGAGAGATTAGGAACGATAAAGGGAGAAGAAAGAGAAATACAAGAGGAGATAGAAGTAGGAAGCGCAAGGATAAGAAAAGTAATAGAAGAGAACGAAAATGAGGGAGGGAGAAGGGATGAGAATGGAAGAGGATGGTGGAACGAAGAATGTAAGGAGAAGAAAAGAGAGGTGAGGAAGGAGCTGAGAAAATGGAGGAAAGGAAGAGGAGAAGTGGAAAGATACAGAGAGGAGAGAAAGGAGTACAGAGAAATGTGTAAAAGAAAGAAAAAAGAGGAAAAGGAAAGGATGATAAGAGAAATAGGGGAAGCGAAAACGGAAGGAAAGGTATGGGAATTGATAGGCAGAGTAAGAAAAAGAAGGAAGAGGATAAATGAAGAGATAAAGATGGAAGAATGGAAGGAGTACTTCATGGAACTAATGGGTGGGATGGAGAATAGGGTAGTGAAAGGAGAAGGGGGAGGGAACAGACAAAAAGAAGAGGAGATAGAGTTGGAGGAGGTAAGAAATGTAATAAAGAAGTTAAAAACAGGAAAGGCAATAGGAAATGACGGGATACCGAACGAGGCGTGGAAATTTGGAGGAGAAGAAATGGAGAAATGGATATGGGAAATCTGTAAAAAAGTTTGGAGAGGGGAAGGCTGGCCGGAACAATGGAAGGAAGGAGAAATAGTCCCAATAATTAAAAAAGGAGAAGGAGGGGTGAAGGATTATAGAGGAATAACAATAATGTCATCAATGTACAAGATATACACAGCGATACTTGCGGAAAGGTTAAGGAAGGAGGTCGAGACAAAGAATTTGATTCCAGAGAATCAGGCAGGATTCAGAAAAGGGATGGGGACGATGGACCAGATATTCGCGCTGAATTATCTGGTTAATAGACAATTGGGTAAGGAGAAAGGAAAGATGACAGTATTTTTCATAGATTTGAAGGCGGCCTTCGACTCAGTGGATAAGGAAGTACTAATCAGGGCGATGACTGAGAGGGGAGTGAGGCAGGGTTTAATAGACAGGGTTAAAGAGGTACTGAGAGAAACAAAGAGTAGGGTAAGAATAGGAAGAGAGTGTGGAAGTGCATTCTGGATGGCGAAGGGCGTGAGACAAGGGTGCCCATTGAGCCCGATACTCTTTAACATATTGATCGCGGACTTAGAAGATTACATGAAGAAAGGAGGATGGGGAGGGGTAAAGCTGAAAGGGGGAAAGATTTACACGTTAATGTATGCGGATGATATAGCACTGATGGCGGAAGAGGAACAGGACATGAGATCGATGATAAGCAGGCTAGAGGAATACCTGGACAAGAAGGGACTAATATTGAGCATAGAGAAATCAAAAATAATGAGATTCAGAAAGGGAGGAGGAAGGAAGAGGAAGTATGATTGGAGATGGAAAGGAAAGAAACTAGAAGAAGTTAAGGAATTTAAATATCTTGGATATACACTGAAGGAAAATGGGGGACAAGAGGCACATATCAGAGAAAGAAGAAGGAAGGCGGCGAGAGTAATGAGGGAAGTGTGGGGGATAGGGAAAAGAATGTGGAAAAAGGACTGGAGAAGAAAGATCTGGCTGTATGATACCCTGATATGGACAGTGATGGGATACGGGGCAGAAGTGTGGGGGTGGAAGGAAAGGGTGGAGGTGGAAAGTACACATGAAAGATATATCAGATGGATATTTGGGCTAAACTGGAGGACACCCGGATATATGGTGAGAGATGAAGTGGAGAGAGAGAAGATGAGAGGCAGGGCGAGCAAGAGAGCTCGGAAGTTTGAAAAGAAATTAGAGGAAGGTAACGGAGGGGGAATAGCGAGAAAATGCCTAGAGGAAATGAAAGAGAGATGGAAGAAGGGGAAGATAATAGGAAAGTGGGAACAAGAAAGAAAAAGTTATCTGGAAGAGCTGGGGGTGAGAGCTGAGGAGGAGGAAGAGTTAGAAGTGGAAAATCTGGAGAGCAGAGAGAAGGCGAAGCAAAAACAAGAAAGGATGGAAAAGATCGTAGACTCGAAATACAACAAGTGGTATAAATTTATAAGGAAGGATGGGATTCCAGGATACTTAGAGAAAAACTGGGAGGAAGAAAGGTGGAGTAGGGTCGCGAGGTTCAGATTAGGTAATGAAATTAGGGAAAGACTGTATTGGGAAAAAGAGGAAAATAGAAGGTGCAGGATATGCGAGAGGGAGGAGGAAACATGGGAACACATATGGGAGGAATGTACGAGATGGGAGGGATGGGATGGAGAGGGGTGGCAAGATGTGGTGGAGAATTTACTAGGAGAGGGGGGAGAGGGAGAGGAATGGATGAAAGCGATAGAGAAAATGCGACAAGAGGGAGGAAGGGGAAGGGAAGTGATGGATGAGAGAGCAGTGTGATTGAGACGTATGAAAGAAAAATATGAAAGGAAGGAAGCAAGGGAAACGGAAGTCCAACATTAGAAATAAGTTAGAAATAAGTTAGAATTAAGTTAGATATAAGATAGAGCGATTAAGCGAGAAGCGATTGAGAGAGGCGCAGGGGAGCAAGCGAGAGAGCGGGAGAGCGAGAGAGAGAGGACAGGCAGGGTTAGGAAGCGCAAAAATTGTAAAGGTTTGGGTACGTTCCTGAAAAACGCCAATGATGTGCGAAAAGAGGAAGAAGAATAGGAAACTGTAAAGGTTTGGGTACGTTCCTCAAAAACGCCCTTTAAGGCCCCTTAGGGGCAAATAAAGTACTTTATACATACATACATAATATTTTATTTTAACACATTAAACATTTAACTCTTTTATTTTAACATTTTAATATTAATATAACTTAATTAATATATAAACAATGTAAAATTAATAACTTTAATTAATGTCTTTATTTTCAAAAATTTCTTCAAATGCGCTTAAAACTTTTTGCCTCATATATAACCGCGATGACAAACTAAAATTTTGTACATCGCGAGCAATTGATAAATAAAAATATTCTTCAGCAGAATGTTCTCGATTTAATAAAGATCTTGAAGTCGGTTTATTTTTTATATAATCTAATATAACTTCTTCCACCGAATCACACTCATGATTAGCTAAATTTGGAATTAAAATATTCAAAATTAAAATATTTATATATATATATATATATATATATATATATATATACACATATATATAT